GTTCGACGTGGTCACTGAACTTTTTTTTCTCTCTCTCTCTTTCTCTCTCTCTCCTCTTGGAGTCACTCCTGCTACACGTTGACTGTTTTTCTGGAAAGTTACTCGGGTGAATCCCCTCCCTCCTCTCTCCCCCAACTCCGTCTCCCTCTCCAGCTGTCAGTCCGTCCTCTCCTGGCTGCCTCTCCGCTCCCTCCCCGGCCGCGTCCTGGGCCGCCCCGGGCCTGGCGGGACCCGGGCAGGGGCCGGAGCGCGCGGGGCCGAGGCGGGGGCGAAGGGTGGCGCCCGGGGTTGGAACGGGCTTGGGCTTGGGTTGAGCTCCGTGGCCATCCTGCACCCCTCCTTTCCCCCCTCCCCCCTTCATTGACAAGCTTGGAGCCAGGCAGCTTGGAGAAGCTTGGGGATGCTCCAGGGGCCCTGAAAATGGTGGCGTTTTCCAGCAGATCGAGGGTGCCCTCTGGCGTGGCGAGGCCGCCAGTGACAGAGGCTCTGCGGGTCGGCGCTGGGAGGGCCGGGGCTGGGACTGGGGCCGGGGCTGGGACTGGGGCTGGGGCTGGGCTGGGGCTGGGGCTGGGGCTGGGGCTGGGGCTGGGGCTGGGGCTGGGGCTGTTGCTGGCCCTGGGGAGAAGGGGCTTGGAGAGAGGCAGAGTGGCACGCGCTGGCCCTCACAGAATAGCCTCCCTGTCAGCCCGGCCCCGGCCCCGGCGTGCACACAAGTGCACCTCTCCTTCCCCCGAGCCCAGCGCTGCAGCCTCTCTCTCTCTCTCTCTCTCTCTCTCTCTCTCTCTCTCTCTCTCTCTCTCTCTCTCTCTCTCTCTCTCTCTCTCTCTCTCTCTCTCTCTCAGAAATGTCCTCCAGATGTTCGTGGCCTCCCTCCCGCCCGGGGTTCCGCGGGGATCTGCGTCAGCGAGCGCAAAGTCAGCAGTTGGCAGGAGCCCATTTCCCAGATGGGTGAGGGGAATTTTCCCCTCCGCCTCCCTCCTCCTCCTCAACCTGAGCTTCTAGGTATTCCCCAGGAGAGAATCCACCCAGGACCAGCCCCTGAAGGGGATCACTTTCTTAGAAATCAATGTTGCTCCCTGCCACCGGCCCACCTCACCCCAGCCTTCCAGGCCCCTTCCCGCCAGGTCTGGTTCCTGCTCCTCGCTCCTAGGTTACTAACGGGAAAGGGGATGTTCACCACATCCCGGGGCAAGCGATGGGTCATTTTACAATGGAAGAAATTAAGGCACAGAGAGATTTTTATTTTTTAAAATATACTTTTATTGATTTCAGAGAGAAGGGAGAGAGAGAAACATCAATGATGAGAGAGACTCACTGATTGGCTACCTCCTGAATGCCCCCAACTGGGGATCAAGCCCACAACCCAGGCATGTGCCCTTGACTGGAATGGAACCCGGGACCCTTCATCCACAGGCCAAGCCTCTATCCACTGAGTCAAACCAGCCAGGGTCACAGAGAGATTTTGAAAGGCCATAAAGCTGCCCAGCAAGTGTAGCTCAGCGTGGACCCAGGAACCAAGAGGTTCTGGTCAGGGCGCATGCTCTGGTTGCCCAGTAGGGGGCGTGCAGGAAGTAGCTGATCAGTGATGTTCCATCTCATGTATGTTTCTCTCTATCCCTCTCCCTTCTTCTCTCTAAAAAGCAATAAAAACACATTTAAAACCAAAATAAAATCAAATAAAAGGCTTATGAGTGCTGGAGGTGATGTTTAATAGGGGCTTTCTGGTTTGCGTGGGCATTATTGTCATTTGCATAACAAATGAGGAAACCTACGTGTAGAAAGCTTAAAAATAAGTTGTCTAAGGTCATATAGCCAGTATGTATCACCACTGACATTTAGACTGAAGAGTCTGTTGCAGGTCTATGAGTGTAATGATGCCTCTGAAGTTCAGTCAGCCTTGGAAAAATATGTTTGATGTTCACTATATGCCAGGCACAACAATAGGCTCTGTGGATACACAGTGAACATAAACAAACTAACAAAATCCTTGCGCACATGGAGCTGACATTCTAGAGATGGAGGTAGGGCAGTAGAGAAGGCAATAAATGAAAGAAAATAAAACAGGAAAGAGGCTAGGGAGTGCCTACTTGGGGGGTGGGGAGGGGCTGTTGGAATTTAAAGTAGATGTTTTAGTTTTAAGTCAGAGAATGCCTTACTGAAGCTTTATGCAAACACTTGCAAAATAGGAAGGAAAACTATTAAAGTTATATCTGGACCCCACCTCTACTGAATCGGTCTCTAGGGATGGGGCCCTGTTATATGTTCTTTCAACAAGTCTCACAGGTGACCCAGGTACCCATCAAGGTTTGGAAGCCACTATTATAGGGCTTCTTTCTGCCCAGAGTGAGCAGCGGTCAACTTTTTGTTGTTGTTGTTGTTGTTGTTAATCCTCACCCAGGAATATTTTCCCCATTGGTTCTGTTAAAGAGAGTGGAGGGGAGGGTTGGGCAAGGAAGAGAGAGAAAGAGAGAGAGGGGGAGACTTGGGTGGGGATTGAACCTGCAACCCAGGTACATGCCCTTGATTGGGAAGGGAATGGGTGACCCTAACCACTGAGAAACACCGAAGCCAGGGCTGCATCAGTCAACTTTTGTTTTCAGGGAGAAGAGGGAGTGAAGGTTTGGAAGCTAGGTATAAGGTGGTTGTGGTATGTCTGTGAGCTCACGAGAAATGAAAATATCCAAAGATTAATTCCTTCTTCCTCTTCTGGTGCCAAGGAAAAGGGAGTAGGGATGCACTGGAGCCTGTATTTCATCTGTTCGGGATTTGGATTTTTGGCAATGAGTGTTTATTCAGATTCAAATCTAATAGGGTAGCCTGGCCAGCATGGCTCAGTGGTTTGATTGTCATCACCAGGAGGGCACATGCCATGGCTTGATCACCAGTAAAGGGTGTGCAGGAGGCAGCTGATCAATGATTCTCTCTCCTCATTGATGTTTCTATCTCACTCTCACTCTCCCTTCTTCTCTGAAATCAATAAAAAAATATTTTAAAAAAATCTAATATTCTCCCTGAGAATCAGAGTCAGTAAGTACAAGGTATTAGGGATAATCTCTAAGAGTAATTACAGGAGGGAAAAACCTGAGGCCAGAGAGACTCTGCCTGGTTTACACAGGTAGTTGTGAGCAGAGCTAGCATGAGACCTCACTTCTTCTGATATCCAGGTAATGCTGTTGCTGTCACAACCCTACCCAATAAACACATGGATGAATGATTGAACTGAGTAATTTACTTTTGCAAGTTATTAGTACTGGGGTTTTTGATGTGTTGGCTCAAAAACATCAAAACCTCTCTGTGAAGTTTTTGAAGACAGAGATGATGTGTATTGCATTTTCTGTTGTAAACCACTTATTCACACCAGATCCTTGTAGCCCTATTCCTCATCTGAGCAATGGAGATAATGCAATATATCTTGCTTCCCATACAAGGTTGCCATGCCCTTCACATGAGCTAATAACTGTGAAGGGCCTCTGTACATTGTAAAGAACTATATAAATAAGAGGGATCAGAATAATTACTACCATTTTGCTTTGCAATTAATAGCTTATGTGTTTAGAAAAGGACACATGCTTTTCCGCTGTCCCACAGGAGCAGCTTTACCGGAATGTGATACCTGGTGGTTTCTACCGCATGTCAAGCAAGGCACGTTTAGGAAATATCGGGTCTAGTAATAATTAATGCCGTTTTTTAACATTCGTTTAAAATCTTGCTTGGCGTTGACTTGTATTGACATAACCTTCAAACACGTGGTATCTACAGAACGTGTGAAGTGCAATTAACAAGTTTTGCTTGAAAAAGTTTGTGTTTGGTTTGGTTTTTGTTGCAAAACTAGGGCTAAGAAGATGGCGGATGAAGAGCATATTTGGCACTGCATGCTTTACGAGTTCCAATTAGGAAGAAAAGCAAGTGAGGCTGCAAAAAACATCTGTAGTGCTCTTGGTCAAGATGCAGTTAGCGCCAGAAAATGCCAGCATTGGTTTGAGAAATTTCGCGAGGGAAATTTTTCTTTAGATGACAAGAGTGGTCGAGGCCGTGTGTCCAATTTTGATCAAGAAGCTCTTCAAGCTCTTTTGGTGCAAAATCCTCAAATTACCCAACAAGAGCTTGAGACAACTTTAAATTGTTCACAAAAAACAATTTCCAATCAATTGCGTGCACTTGGCAAAGTCCAAAAGTTTGGAAAATGGGTTCCTCATGAGTTGACCGACAACAACCGTAATCAAAGAGTCACAATTTGCAGTTCGCTCCTCTCTCGTCAAAACCGTTTGCCGTTTTTAGAGCAAATTGTTACCGGAGATGAAAAATGGGTGCTGTAAGTTAATTTGAAAAGGCGGCCTCAATGGTTGGACAAAAATGAGGCTCCGCAGCCCACGCCAAAACCTGACTTGCATGCAAAAAAAGTGATGTTGTGTGTTTGGTGGAATTTTAAAGGAATTCTTCATTATGAACTTTTACCATCTAACCAAACCATTACAAGTGCAGTGTATAGTGCCCAATTGGAAAGGTTAGCCCAAGCTTTAAGAGAAAAAGAACCCACGCTGATTAATCGAAAGGGCGTAATTCTTCACCATGATAACGCACGACCACATACTGCAAGAATCACTGCTGAAAAACTGCGCCAGTTGGAATGGGAAGTTCTCCCTCAACCTGCATATTCTCCTGATATTGCCCCTTCCGATTACCATTTGTTTCGTTCTTTGCAAAACTTTCTTCTTGGAAAAAAATTTAATAATGAAGAATGCCTCAAAAATGCATTGACCGAATTTTTTGCATCAAAATCACAAGAATTTTACAACAGAGGGATTAAAATACTTCCTGAGTGTTGGGCACAAGTAGTAGAAAACAACGGCAACTATATTGTTGATTAAATTTTGTTGTATTGTTTAAATCAATTCGATTTTAAAAAGTATTAGAAAACGACATTAATTATTACTAGACCTAATATTTAAGTTGGAGGATGGCACAGAGAATCCAGGAATAATGCCTTGACCCTTTAAAAGTCGGGGCGGAAGGGCGGGGCCGTCGTCAGGGACGCCGAGGGGCCGCTAGGTTTCCAGGAAGTGACGTCAGGCGGCCGTGGCGATGGAGGACGTGCTGGACCTGGGCGAGGAGCGGCGCCGTGGCCCGGCCACCTCCGTGAGGACCGTGGCGGGGGCGGAGAGCGGGCGGGGGCCAGGCTTTGGCGGGCGGGGAGGGCCTGCTCCGCGGCCCGGCTCCCTGCGGGCCTCGCGCAGCCTGGCCCCGCGGCCGGAGCGGCGGGAGGCGGGGAGGAGGCGGTGGCTCCGTGCGCCCCGCCCCCGGGCCGCGGTGTGCTCAGCCGGGGGTTCGCTTTCTGTAAAATCCCCCAAAAGTGGGAAACCGCGCCGGCTCCTGCTCCCGCCGGCCTCCGGGGTCAGTGGAAACGGTCCCCGTTTTCCCTTGCTTTCCGGAGCCCCAAGTGCGAACTTCCCTAGAAAGGCAGGTCTGCGGGTGACGAGGCGCCCGGCCAGGGTCGCCCTGGCGCCCATTCTAGAGCTTTCCCGTCGGGCTTTTCTTGGGGGCAGGCTTACATTAAAAACCGCACTATATATACGTGAAGGCAGGGTTGGGCCTTTTTTTTTTTTTTTTTTTTTTTTTTTTGCCTGTAGCCTCGGGGAAGGTAGGCTTTTCCTCAGTTTTTTTTTTTTTTTTCCAGAGAGGAAGAGAGAGAAAGAGGGACAGAGAGCTAGAAACATCGATTATGAGAGAGATACATTGATCAGCTGCCTCCTGCACACCCCCTACTGGGGATGTGCCCGCAACCAATGTACTTGTCCTTGACCGGAATCGAACCTGGGACCTTTCAGTCCGCAGACCGCCGCTCTATCCACTGAGCCAAACCGGTTTTGGCTTCCTCTGTTTTATGTTAAGGAAAGCAAGAGTCAGATTTATAACGTTGAGGGCTGGGGACCCAGAGGTCAGATGGAGTCTGAAGCTGTTGCGAGGGCCTGAAAAAAGCTAACCTCTCAGAACCTAGGGTTCCTCGTCTCAGAATGATGTTGCTGTCTGCTTTAAGGAGTTGCAGCGAAGACGAAATAGGATAATGCACGGAAAAGCCTTGACACAGTGCCTGGCTTATGTAAAGTTCGCTGCTGCCTGTGGTTTACCCAAGGTCCTAGGGTCAGGAATACACCAAGCTAGAGTCCAGACTCAAGTTCAGTGATCTTTGCTTTAACTCCCATCACACCCCTCCAAGCCTCTTTACCTTTAGAATAGTCAGGATTACACTTACTAGAAGATTGAGCCCCAGGGCAGATCTTTAGTTTGCACTGTGGACTGCGGAGTCTCTTAAGTGTTGTTTTTTAATACGTTGATAGCATCTGGTGTCCTCCAAGGCACACCTCCCTAAGGGGGAGCTGAAGCATAGGAACAAATTGTTCTAGGCCGAAGCAGGTTGCTTGACTGACCAAGGAGAAGAATATTTAGGTCACCAGGCTTTTCTGATATGAGAACGTGTTTAGTGCCTGGTTATATAAACGTAGTTCTTCATCCTTTCAACAAACATTTATTGAGCCTTTATTGGGGATCAGGCATTTTCATAGGTGCAGGGAATAAAACAAAGTCCTTGCCCTTATGGGGCTTATATTCCAGTGACGCAAGATGGACAATAAACAGACTACACATTCAAAATGTATAAAATTGGGTAATGAAATAGTTTTTCTATTAGCCATACATGTGGACTTATACAGAGTCTTCAAAAAGTTTAAAATACTTAATTTTTAGAGCAATCATCTATAAACAGCATTTAGGGACAAGATCATTGAATTTTTGTTGTAGCACAACCACTGCTCATGGCATGCCATATTTATATATCTAGTGCTGTGATAAATGGAAAAGCATAACCACAGGTGAAGCAATGGGATTGTCTGCCTTAGGGGGAAAAATGAGCTGCTTATTATCAGGAAGATTGTTTCCATCATCTCTGAAACCTAAATGATTGGTTAAAATTTGAAATGGCTTTGCTGGTGTAGCTCAGTGGTTGAGCATCAACATGAACCATGAGGTCAGGGTTCAATTTTCAGTCAGCATGCCTGGGTTCCAGGCTCCATCCCCAGTGGGGGGTGTGCAGGAGACAACCTGTCAATGATTATCTCTTATCATTGATGTTTCTCTCCTCCTCTCCTCTCTGAAATCAATAAAAAGATATTAAAAACAACATTTGAAATGTAAACACTCCATCAGAGTTTTTATACAGCTCCCATGTAACCGTTCTCAATTTGTCAGTACAGTTAGTTCTTCGGACATCATAAAACTGAGATTCCAGCCCTAGTTGGTTTGGCTCAATGGATAGAGCATCAGCCTGCGGACTGAAAGGTCCCAGGTTTGATTCCTCTCAAGGGCACATGCCTGGGTTGTGGGCTCGATCCCAAGAAGGGGCGTGCAAGAGGCAGGCCAATCAATGATTCTCTCTCATCATTGATGTTTATCTCTCCCTTTCCTTTCCTCTTTGAAATTAATAAAAATATATATTTTTAAAAAGCCAACAAATGAAAAGATAAGTATTTTAATGCCTATTGGTCTGCCTAAATAAAGTTTTTGATGTGGTGTGAAGCATTTGAGATACAGAATCTCCACCCCAGGAGGACTTTGGGGAAAAGCTGCAATGGTTCATGTGATGACTCAGAATTTGAATTGTTCTGATTTCCAAAGCTGATGTTTCAACATTCTTGTAAGAGATTTTTTTTCATGTTGTAAATGGAAATCCAATCTAGTTTACACGTTAAAGCAAATGCTACCTGTATTTCTCTTTGGGCAGTTCTTATGGAATCTAGGAATTCTTTCCCAAAACTTTTTTTTTTTTTAATAACTTTTCTCACATCAAGGTGCAGCTTTGAAATTAGGTCTTCCTAAAATCCTGCATGAACACGGGGAGCCTTTACACACTCTTCCTTAAACTGTGGTGCGAGGTCTGTGCCCATTCCAGAGGAATTTCTAGTTTCATTTCTTTGTGTAGAAATGATGTGGGGCGATTAAATGAAAACCTTATGATCATTAACCCATGAATTTCCTATTCTTCTACCAAAGAGAACTGACCTCAACTGCTTTTAGGGTTTGGAGCATTTTCTAATAATATTCAAATTACTCCACCATGTATTCATAAATCTAGTTCTTGCTTGCCTTCTGAGAATAATTGTCCTCATAGTGGCTCAGAGATGTTTGGGTTAGCAGCGCCCCTTATTTCTTCTTACAGGAGCCCAAGATGGGTCGCCGAGCTCAGCAGGAGTCAGCTCAAGCCGAGAATAACCTCAGTGGCAAGAATTCTTCGATTCTGATTGGAGAGGTGGGTGTTAAAAAATCTGAGAAAATGCTACAAGTTAGCGATTACCTAATGAGCAAAGATTTAGTATTCCATATTTCTTCTCTTTAATGTTAGCTCTTCTATCTTGATTTGGGAATTCCCTAGGCATTTCTCATCTGAGTTAGAAATGAAAAAGAAACACTTTATCTTTGATGCTAGAATAGTTTCTGTGCATTGCTTTATATTCTCAATGAAGAACTTTGCAAAGTTAGCTGAACAAGGGACTGGGAAGTTTCAAAATGTAGTTGAAGTCCAGGTGTTTATTTCTACTGAATGAAGGTCAGGGAGGCATGCTGGTGACATCAATTAGATTACACAACTGGACGTTTCATGGGGACCTGCACTTCCTACAGTGTCAGGGAGGAAGGGGGTCAGTACTGGCCTTACTTTCCTCTGAGTAGCTCAGACTGATGGGAATTTATCCGGCTTCTTTGTAGGGGGGGGGGGGGGGGGTTAATCCTGATGAGCGATACTTTTAATGCCAGGGTACTATTTTCGGCAGTTTCACCTTCCTTTGTCTGTTTGAAAAAACTTTGCCCTTTTCAAGAGTCAGCTTCAGGGTAATCCCCTCTGTCAGCTCTTCTCCAGGTTGAGGCGGGGCTCCTTCCTCTCAGTTTCCATAGAATAACTCACATTAAATGCTGATTTTCGTTTTACGTGTCTGTCAGCCCCGCTAGACATTGAGCTAAACCTGGCTTCTCCATTGTCTGGCTCGTGTCCCCATATAGGTTTAGAGAAGCCTAATGGGCAAGAAGGATGCATGAGCACAGCATGCTGGCAACAGGACACAGATACACTTTATTTACCTATCACATGTATAGGCATATTCATTTTTATGCGAAATAAGTTTTCCAGCGTTTCTTCAAGTGCTCCATGTGCCCTTTCGATTTATCTTGCATTTTTCTCATTTATTGTAGAAAAGTGGTTACGGAGAATAATTTCTCTAGGATACCAACCATGCCAGCACAGAAAAGCTGGCAGCTGACCCTTGGCCTCATTGCCCTAAAACAGTAGGGGGAATGTGAGTTGGATTGTGGGAACTGGAGGCCGATGTCCCTTCTAAAGGGGTAACCCCTGCATAGCCAGAGCTGACTGATGCTGTGGGGAACACAGGCCCACTATTGCCAGATCCTCTGACTTTGCAAGGGATATTGGCAGTCTAAACTTTTATATGAAAGAAACCATTTTTAGAGGTTAGCCATTAATTACAAAAATTAAATTGCTGTATGGCCTAGATTAGGCCTGACGGTTGTTAGTATGTGACTTTGGCCATAACACCCACATTCTAGTGCTTATTACATTATATTCTAACAATTTACATGTCTGGCTCCCTCATGAAATGTGAGCTTCTGGGAGGCAAGGATTGTGTCTGACCATTGTAATCTTTGTTATCACAGTGTCTGTCACAGAACAGGTATGCATTTGACATTGCAAAGGAAGAAGGGATGAAGTGCATAGTGTGTGATGGGGGATCTTAGAGGCTCAGTAATACTGTTTGGGTATGGTAGTATAATATAAAAAGACAGTGAAAGAAGGCCTACCAACCCCAACCTGGATCTCAAGAAGCCCGAACTGTAGTAAGGTACATCTTTAAAGAGAAAATGGGCAGATGATTGGGTTAATGGAAATGTATTCTTGGTCTCTGGCCACTTTAAACTGTACTTCTAGGAGGATCCATCACAATACCAGATGACTTATTCATTTATTCAACAAATATTTATTGAAGTTTTCTGCGTGCAGGCACCATTTTAGGGCTTGGCATATTTCAGCGAACAAAAAGAGACAAGGTTCCCTGCCATAACCGAACTTATATTCTTGTGATTATTGGCAGTTAGGAAGACTAACTACCAGTCTACATAATGGTGAAGGAGGTTACAGCCTGCAGTGGTTAGGTGAGCGAGCCTGTGATGGGCCAGGATGTCCTGGGATGACCTATGGCCTTGAAGCCCTGTGTGGCCCCCATACCAAATGGGCTCCTCGGCTGGGGTCAGTAAGCACTGTTCATCTACCCACCCCCTGCCCCTTGGCTTCCAGCAAGAGTCAGTTCTGTAAGCACACAACTCCAGTGTCACACTCTGATGAACCTTTTAGGGTTTCAGCCTTTCTGGAATACTTGCTTATTTCCTCAGAGACATTTCCTTTTTTTTTTTTTTTTTTTCCTTTCTTTTTTTTTCTTTTTCTTTTAAACTATGAGTGTTAGCATTTTTCTGGGAGAACATGATGAAAAGTCATTCTCTTCTTTATCTCATGGGTGTATCTGACAGTGAAATGGCTGTCAGAATTCCAGGATTCCTTCTCTCCCTGGGTTAACTGAGGTTCAAAGCAGTGTGGGCAGCCTCCCCCCCCCCCCCCCCCCCCCCCCGGGGCCAGATGCTCACTGTGCTGTGTGGGACTTTTTGGCTGTTTCTTTCTAAAATTAGATTCTAAGACTTGTGTGTGTGCCCATTTACATTCCGAGTGTATTACTTGATATATTTATTTTTGTCCTCTCGCTGACTCTGTTCTATGATGAGGCTATTCATGAAACTAACTATGGTACCTGGGCTTGTCAGACATACTGGAGTTACTTTAGAGTTAAGCAGGAAATTAGTTCAAACAAGTTATCTTGAAGTGAGATGGCAGAGTTGGGAGCGCTGGCGAAGGAAGCAGAGAAGTAGCCCACGGGAAGAGAGAGAGCACGGGACTTGGCATCAGAAGACCAGGGCTTGTGACAGCTCCGTAAATTAACTGCCTGGATCTTGAACCAGTCCACTAATCTCTCTAATCCTCCATTCTATTATCTGTCAAATACTGTAGTGGTAACAATACTACCAGGTTGCTGTGGGGATTAAGTGAAATATGCATTTAAAAGCACTTTAGTAACTGGGAAGCCTGGCACAAACGTTCATTCATGCAGTAAACTAGTGAATAAGGGAGTATTGGACAGTGCTCTGCTGTTTTTAGTAACGAAGGAGGATGTAAGCCTGGGTCTCTGTTAGAACTGATTGAAAAGGCTCCTCAAGGCTGCTGCTCATGTCACCAGAAGTTGACCCGTAGGGATCCCAAGCAGTTTTTGTGCTTTCTGGGTGCACTGGACATTCCTTTTACGAGTGGATAACAGCGCAGGCCTCGGGGTCATACAGGTGGGTCATACCAGCCTGGGTTCAAATCCTGGCTCTGCCTCAGATTAGTTCTATGATACCGACCGAGCAAGTTACTTCTTAATCTCTTTAAAACTCCATTTTCTTTCTTTTTTAAAATTTTGTTATTTTTATTATTTTTATTTTTTAGATTTTTTACAGAGAGGAAGAGAGAGGGATAGAGAGTTAGAAACATTGATGAGAGAAACATCGATCAGCTGCCTCCTGCCCACCCCCTACTGGGGATGTGCCCGCAACCAAGGTACTTGCCCTTGACCGGAATCGAACCCGGGACCTTTCAGTTGCAGGCCGACTATCCATTGAGCCAAACTGGTTTCGGCAAGCCTCTGTTCTCTTGTTGGTAAAACAGGGATATTAATATTACAAGGGTGGCTAGAGAGAAAAAAATGAGGTCATAAATAAAAAGCTCTTAACACAGTCTGGCGCATAAATGCTCAATATATTGCTAACCATTATTTTTCTAGACTTCTCTTCTTTTTAGTTTGCCTTAACCATCTCTACTAAGGTTGAAAACTAGTGGTTTTCAGGCTGAATTTCGCCTACAGTCATGTCTTGACTGATGTGGGCAGAGTTAATTTTTTTTTTTCTTTTTACTTGGTTTTTATCACTTATAAATTAGGAAACTTCATGTGAAAATCTAAATTGTGGGCTTCTTTCTAAAATCAGAAGTGTTGGCACGGTGGGAGTGCTGGGCTGGCATTCCCACAAGGCTGGAACTGGTAACAGTGCTCGCTTACATGCGTCCTGCCTCTCCATTTCGCTACTTGGCCACTTCTAACTATAATACACCTGGTCAGTTCTACTCACATTTGGTCTGCTTGGCTTCTACTTCCATTTGAGTTTCAAACTCCTGCTTTTTCAGGGTGGATTGGTTTTCAGGTATCTTTGTGTGTTAGTGTTGAATTTGGCTGCATCCATCAGAAACTCAACCCCAGTGCTTGAATCAGACAGGGATGATTTTTCTCACAGCAAGAAGCCCAGAGGAGGGCAGGGCCGGGCTGGTGCAGTCACTAGACAATGTCCTACATGACCCTTGCCCCTCCTACCTTCCAGCTCTGCCATCTGGAGGTTATGACCTCTTCTCATGGTAGCAGGGTGGCTGGTTGTTCCCTTGGGATCAGAGGAACAACCTCTTTAGAATGAGGAAGAGAAAGGATAGTTGAAGAGTTCAAGGTGCATGCCAGCCAAGTGTGTCCCTCCTTTCTTTCTAGGAAAACAGTAGCCAGAGACCTCACAAGTGGACTTATAGTTACATTTTATTGGTCAGAAATGGGTCTTACATTCACTTTATTTTGCACAGGAGTGTTCAACCGGGCAACACCCATACATTGGGTGTTTTTGTTTTTTTGTTAGAGAGGAGAGGAGAATAGAATGGCTGTTGGGTTGGCAGTTTTCACTGACATATTTTTCCTTTTTGAAAAATAGAATTTATGCAAAGGTGTGTGTGTTGTTGTTTTTTAAGATTTTTAAAGATAGATTTTTAGAGGGAGAGGAAGGAAGAGAAAGAGAAAGAAACTTTGATGTGAGAGTGAAACATCAATCAGCTGCCTCCCACAAGCCCCCTCATGAGGGATTGAACCTGCAACATGGGCATATGCCCTGACCTGGAATTGAACTGGCAACTTCCATGCATGGGACGACGTCCAACCAATTGAGTCACTGGCCATGGCTTTTTTTTTTTTTTAATATGTTCTTATTGATTTCAGAGAGGAAGGGAGAGAGAGATAGAAACATCCATGATGAGAGAGAATCATTGATCGGCTGCCTCCCACATGCCTCTACTGGGGATCGAGCCCAAAACCCGGGCATGTGCCCTTGACTGGAATCAAACCCGGGACACTT